ACTACCACTACCACTACCACTACCACTACCACTACCACTACCACTACTACTACTACTACTCCTACTCCTACTCCTACTCCTACTCCTACTGCTACTGCTACTGCTACTGCTACTACTACTACTACTACTACCACCACTACCAGTACCACCGAGCAACCGTCGAGCAGAGAAAACCAAAATCACACTTTCGGGTGGTCGTGGGGCTGTTTTTGTTCTTTGAAAGGCGAAAACACAGCTTTGGGCTGCGAAACTGCGTTTTTGCCTTTCAAAGAGCAAAAAACAGCCCCACGACCACCCGAAACTGCGATTTGATTTTGCCTCCACCACTCCTACTACCACTACTCCGTCCACCAGTCCGTCCAGGTGGTCCGACCTCTAACCTGGACCACCGGATGGTGTCCTTCTGGATGTTGTATATTCGATGGTGCTGGTTGTCAGCAACACATTTGGGTTGCTTTGACCAAATCTATTGAAAGTGCAAAAGGACCTGAAAGATCCTAAAGGATGGTTTTGTCTCCGGCCGGGTCTCACTTTTCATACTGCTCGACATGCTTCACAATTGGAAAGACACCGTGTTTACAAGCTGCAGAAGTTCGGTCTCCGGCGACGGAAACAAACTCAGCTCACCATGACGCCGTAACTTCTCGCATTTGCTCAAGAGCACACGCGCACACGCAGCCAGCGCTGACTGGAGGCGGCCGCTTGGGCAGCACCACATGGAACTGCTGGATGAACTGATTTGTATATTTCTGATGTTCCTGTTGGGTTTGTTGAATGCAGCTGTATTAGGAAGATCGGACCAACAAGAGTAAGAGATCAAGCGCTAAGCAGAACTCAAAATCTTTCCCTTTGGGGCCCGACATGTGCTCCATAATAATACATACTACCCAAACCCTCCATGGGACTAAAACAAATTTCCGGAAAAATTAAACATTGATCAACCAGGCCTTGGAGCAATGGATGTACTAAGGTGATGGTGTTCTACTTCCGCTTCGCTGACAAGCCGGAGGACTGTTGGGTTTTGCTTTGCTGGCAGGAACTGCATCCTATAACACATTGTGGCACATGTTGACAATTGTGGGGAGTACAGGAATAATAGTGATATGATGAGTTTTCTTGGCGACGCTAGCAGGGCACTCATGCTCGCTGGCAGGGACATGTTGAATCTTGTTACTGTGTTATTCCCAGGAGGTTTCTTTTTGGCAACGCTAGCAGGGCATCCCTGCTCGCTGGCAGGGACATGTTGAATATTGCTACTGTGTTATTCCCACGAGGTTTCCTTTAACTAGCAACGCTAGCAGGGCATTCATGCTCGCTGGCAGGGACTATATGTATGATTATTCAGGAGGCCATTCTTTCCGGGAGAAGGAGACAACATAGCCATAGCTCAAGCTCAATAAGTTAATAGACGCGCAATGAACCCACACAAGGAGCAACAAGAAGGACCAATTGAATTAATTGAATGACCACCGCTTCCTGGCAGCCAGTTCGCTGGCGGCCAGGATAATCAAAGGCGACAGGAGCAACGAGGCACATACATACACAATGCACAAACGAGAAGGATAAGTCCTACACCGTTTTGCCTCTGGCCAGCTCGATATCGGTTGGCGGCCTGCAGGACTGGGAAGATAGTGCCTTCAAGTGGCTCAAACTCTCGCAGAAGTGGGAGGCGAGCGAGGCAAGCAGGGAATCAGGGAACTCAGGGAACTTGCGTCCTTGCAGCGCGGACCACCCTGAATCATCGCAAAAACCCATCAATGTTAAATACATCCCGATTGAAATTCCCGCTATGGAATCAGGGAACCTGGGTACTGAAACGGACCTTGTTATAGTAACAATTTCGCTCTCTATAGAACGGAGTTGCTTAGGGGTCCAGATTCTAGAGAGCTTGATGTACTAGAGCTAGAGCTATAGATCTTGCTCTCGCAAATGACTGTCCGTGAGTCATTGCTGGTGTCCGCCCTTTTCCGCTGGCCATGCAGCATCTCTATAAATTAATGTCTATTCATTTGTCTCCCAGGTCTGTCACTGCTGGTGTCCGCCCTTTTCCGCTGGCCATGTAGCATTTCTATTCATTGGTCTCCCAGGTCTGTCACTGCTGGCGTCAGCCCTTTTCCGCTGGCCATGTAGCCTTCTGCTTCCTTTTTCCCCCAACAGTTTACTGTTAGGGGTTCTCAATTCCTTCTTAAGGTGTGTCCGCCCTTTGTGTCACTGCTGGTGTCCGCCCTTTTCCGTTGGCCACGCAGCATTTCTTTTCATTTGTTTCCCAGGTCTGTCACTGGTGCTGTCCGCCCTTTTCCGTTGGCCAAGCAGCATTTCTATTCACTTCTCCCCCACGTCTGTCACGGGTGGTGGCCGCCCTTTACCGTTGGCCATCCAACATTTCTATTCATTGGTCTGCCAGGTCTGTCACTCCTGGTGTCCGCCCTTTTCCGCTGGCCCTGTCTCCTTTTGTCTTCCTCCTTGTCTCCCTTCTTGTTTGTCATTGTGTCCACCTTGTTTTCCTTCTTTTGTTTTTGTTTCCCTTCTGTTTCCTTTTGTCTCCCTTCTTGTCTTCCTTCTTGTTGATCATTGTGTGTGTGTCTGTCTTGTCTCCCTTCTGTTATCGTTTGTCTCCCTTGTTGTTGGTCATTGTGTCCGCCTTGTCTTCCTTCTGTTTCTTTTTGTCTCCGGTCTTCTCCCCCTTCTTGTTGGTCACTGTGTCCGTCTTGTCTCCTTTCATCACCCTTCTTGTTTCCCTTCTTGTTGGTCATTGTGTCCGCCTTGTCTTCCTTCTTGTCTTCCTTCTTGTTGGTTGTGTCCGTCTTGTCTCCCTTCTGTGTCCTTTTTTCTCCCTTCTTGTCTTCCTTCTTGTTGGTCATTGTGTCCGCCTTGTCTCCCTTCTGTCTCCCTTTGTCTCTTCCTTTTGTTTCCCTTCTTGTCTCTCTTGTTGTCCCCCTTCTTGTTGGTCATTGTGTCCGCCTTGTCTTCCTTCTTGTCTCCCTGTGTCTCCGGTCTTGTCTCCCTTCTTCTGTATCCTTTTGTCTCCCGTCTTGTCCCCCTTCTTGTTGGTCATTGTGTCCCTTCTGCCTCTTTATCTCCGGTCTTGTCTCCCTTCTTCTGGGTCACTGTGTCCGTCTTGGCTCCCGTCTTGTCTTCCCTTTGTCTCCGGTCTTGTCTCCCTTCTTGTTGGTCATTGTGTCCATCTTCTCTCCCTTCTGTTTCCTTTTGTCTCCCTTCTTGTCTTCCTTGTTGGTCATCGTGTCCGTCTTGTCTCCCTTCTGTTTCCTTTTGTCTCCCTTCTTGTCCCTTCTTGTTGATGTCTTAAAAAGTGGACTTGGGAATGCTTCGTTGTTGTCCCACCTGTTTGGGGTCTACGGTTGCGTAATTTGCATTATTTCTATGCGTTTGTCTCCCAGGTCTGTCACTGGTTGTGTCTCCGCTGGCCACGCAGCATTTCTATTCATTTGTCTTCCAGGTCTGTCACTGCCAGTCCGCCCCTCCTGGTGTGTCCGCCCTTTTCCGCTGGCCATGGAGCATTTCTATTCATTTGCAACATTTCTATTCATTTGTCTCCCAGCTCTGTCGCTGTTGGTGTCCGCCCTTTTCCGCTGGCCATGGCGCAACCCTATGCATTTGCAATTGCAACATTTCGATTCTATTCGCCCTTTTCCGCTGGTGATGCAACATGTCTATTCATCTGTCTCCCAGGTCTGTCACTGGTGGTGTTCGCCCTGGCCATCTAGCATGTCTATTCATCTGTCTCCCAGGTCTGTCACTGCTGGTGTCCGCCCTTTTCACCTGGTGATGCATCCCAGGTCCTGGTGATGCCGTTACGTAGACCTTTCGTCAGGACCACGCGTGGAAGAACGCCGAGGGCTCGATCATCAGCTGGAGAGCGAAGAAGGGGTGGAGAATCCAACTGTCCTCAGGCGAGGGGGTTTGACTGAACCTGCTTGAGCAACTCGCTGGATTCGTCTCTATTTCCGGCTCGTGCAGGGTGGAACGTGGTTAAATGACAAGCAAGAAGGTCTGACGAAGTTTAAAAATCGTTGATGGGTTTCTGGGTAACTGAACAGGACCCAGGTCTTCATGGCGGCCCGCCCTGATCAATGATTTGTTCAATATTCTATTCGTATGTGTTTACGTGTTTGCGTGGTCATGGACATGAGAAAGTGGTCTCAAGATAAATCAGCGATGATACAATACAATCATTCTCCAACGTATAAGTATAAGCTTTCTTCGAACATCTTCGACGCGCATCTCTCCCCTCGCTTTCCAGGAACAACCCTGTTCAAGAGCGAGACCGGCTCAACGGTACCACCACGCCGAGGCAGTAAGTCATATTGGGCGATGTCGATGTTTGCATTGATGGGAATGGGAATCGGAAACAAGCAACATTGGCGACGCATTTTCTTTGCTTATGCTTTAGCAAAAGTATGTTAGGGGCGATGGAAGCCTCCAGCGCTTGCTTTCGATGATTGCATTTAATTTCCCCCTCCTTAACTCCGACCAGAAGGATCAGACCTGCACCGTTTCGCCTCTGGCCAGCTCGATAGCGGTTGGCGGCCTGTTGCTGCTCCTGCTCAGAATCTTCCAACCTCTACCTTCCGCCCACCTGCACCAGGGTGGTTGGTGCAAGATGAAGACGGATCGCGGGTCTCAAGTTCCTTGGAGTGCCTGGAGGAGGCCACGGACGTCAGGGTTCCAGATTCCAAAGGAAACCATATTAGAATACGCGCTGGCTTCCAAAGAAAAAACATCAGTGAACGGGCGAGATGATGAAGATTCATGAAGACTTTTTTCTGGCTAATTGAGAAGGGTTCCAGACACTGGGGTCTGGAGCGGATTATTGTTCCTGGTATCTTTCTTTAACACGAAGGTCTGAGGAAACGATTTTAAGACCTTCAGCTGCTTTCGAAATGTGAACGCACTTCCTCGAATCTCTAGGGTCTACATTCAGCGACAATCCAAGACCCTACGTGTGGCCAGGCCCACCCATCCGAACCTTAACCCTTAGTATACTTGGGGGTATTCATTTTTGTCGGCCTGACTTCTGCAGGCTCGCCTCGAAGAAGACTCAGAAGAACGCGCGAGGACGGTTTTGAGGGGCGCGACGGCGTACGACGGCCATCGAGGGACAATGAGCCACCGACCTGGATCCCGCAGAAGTCCAATACTTTGCTATGACAGCGTGTTACAGCACTTTTGAATGATATCTTATGGAGTCAAGATTCAAGTTGTTGCCAACAAACATGCAATGGAATTCAATGAGAAGAGTCATGAACTAAAATAACCATCTGTTCGAACAGATGGCCACGATTTCGTTCCACATTGCCGTCGCATGTGTGCCCGTATACTGCCAGCGCAAGGAAACGACCTCGCCCGATGCTTCTGAAGAAGGCAGGGCGTTGTTGCTTCGACAACAATGGAAATGGAAGAATTGAAAACAAAAATGGAAAACGAGAATTGAAGACATTGTCCTTTCCTTTCCTTGTCCTTTTCCTTTCCTTTCCTTTCCAATATGCTTTTTAGGTTGCCTGGAAAAACCAGATTCACGACAAGGAAAGGAAACGGAAATGGACATGGACAGGTAGGAGTGCAATTTGTGAATATGCTTTTTCCATGCCGTCTAAGAAGCATATTGGAAAGGAAAGCAACGAAAAGGAACGGAACAGGAAAAGGAAAGGAAAGCATTTTATGAATGCACCCGAAGCCGGGGGGACTGCTGGTCGTGGGGCTCTTTCGAATGTTTGAAAGGCAAAATCGCTGTTTCGCAGCCCAAAGCTGTGTTTTTGCCTTTCAATCAAAAAGAACAGCCCCGCGACCACCCGAAACTGTGATTTTGCCTTTCGCTTCTCGACCGCGCCGCAGAGTCCTTCTCCCTTCTTCAAACCCCTTGTGACTCGAGGCACAGGCAATAGGCCTTTACAAATGCAAGCCCTCGTAGCACAAAATCCTTCTGCAGGGCCTTGTAGCGCAGAGTCCTGCGAGCACTCCTAAGACTCCTACTATAAGCCCTTCAAGCATTTAGACTTAGAAGAACAACGTCTTACCCATGAGGCCGCGATCAGGGCTCATAGGAAGGCATTCTGTGCTACAAGGGATTGGAAAAATGGGACGGACTCTGCGCCACGGTCGAGAAGAGAAGGCAAAATCACAGTTTCGGGCGGTCGCGGGGCCGCTTTTTTCCTTTGAAAGGCAAAAAATGCAGCTTTGGCTGCGAAACTGCGTGTTTGCCTTTCAAAGAACAAAAAAAATGCCCCACGACCACCCGAAACTGTGATTTTGAAGTCATTCTTTTTCAAGGCCCTCCCGAAACTGTGATTTTTCAGTCACCCTTACCTTCTTCAAGGCGCGAAAAACAGCAAGATTCTGTCCTGCGCTACCAGGCCACGAATAAATAAACGAATATGAAGGGCTCTGTGCTACGAGGGCTCATAGGGATTGGAATTGGAAGCAGGGAACAATTCTGCACCACGGTTAGAAAGGCAAAATCACAGTTTCGGGTGGTCGCGGAGCGTTTTTTGTTCTTTGAAAGGCAAAAAAACCAGCCTTCAGCTGCGAATCTCTGCATTTCTGCCTTTCAAAGAACAAAAAAACGCTCCACGACCAGCCGAAATTATGATTTTGGAGTCATCATTTTTCAAGGCCCTCCCGAAAATGGTATTTTGCGGTCAAGGTCCGAAAACAAAGAAAGATTCTGTCCTGTGCTACAAAGCCACGACTCTGAAAGGCTCTGTGCTACTGCTGGAAGAAGGGAAGGACTCTGCCATGGTCGAGCAGAGAAAGGCAAAATGACAGTTTCGGGTGGTCGTGAACCCTTTTTTATTTTTTGAAAGGCAAAAACGAACATTGGCAGCCCAAAGCTGTGTTTTTGCCTTTCAAAGAACCAATTACGCTCCACGATGAGTAACTAAAATCTAATTGTAAGAACTAGTTTCCACAATGAGTTTTAAAGAGAACTTGGAAATGATTTTTTTGCAATCTAATATCTAATAAATAGCAAATTCCACAATCAATGTTAAAAGGATCTTGATTGAAATCTTCTAGTTTAAGTTTGCCTAATTCTATTTTAATTCCAGTTTAGTTAGTTTAAGAACACACATGTTACAAAACCCTATATTTTACAGTGTTTTTTTGCCCTAGGAGTGCTGGGAATAAGACACAAACTATGTTTTTGAGTAGATAGTATTTGTTTAAAGTAATCCCTTGAAATAATCATTCCTATATTAAAACTGCTTTATGTACAAACTTCTAATTCAAAAGGTTCCCTCTAGATCTGATCACTTCTGTGAAAAAATATAAAGTTTTCATTTCAATAGCTTTCCTCTGGATCTCTGGAAATAGTCATGGTATTTTAAAAGAGCTATAAGTATGTATGTAAGTGTTTCTTTCAATTGCTTTCCTCCAATGAAAATACACAAATCTAGGAAATCTACTTTCCCAGAGATCCAGAGGAAAGCTATTGAATCTAGAGATGTATAGTATTATATCTTCATTCGCTCATGATGCTACATTCATTGTGGGCAGGGAGAGATTTACCTGATAATATACCTGATAATATTTATCATTGGTGTTGCACATTGATAGTGGGCAGACGAAGAGCTGTTGTTTGTTGTCATTGACATTGGACATGGAGACTGGGCACAGACAGATCAAAAAAATTGCGGTTCGCCTAGTTCTCAGAGCAGTTTTTGAATTTTTGCACGGTATTTACAGTGTTTTCTAAGGGTTTTGAGCTAGTGTGTGCTCTCCCAAGCACACCCACCCTCTTTCCAAGCCGTATATAACGAGGCGAGGTGCTAAACCCCGGGATGCGAATTCCAAGACGAGGGAGACGAGGTAAGAATTTTTACAATTTGCACAGATGGTGGAGACTCACGTAGAAATGTTGTTTTGTTCTTCTTGTTTGTTGAGAAATGGTGTTCACCCGAAGTGACTCTGGGTCTTTTTGCTCGTGATATCCATCCGAATCCATCCATATCCGTCTCGTGCTGTTTGGGAGTTTGGGCGTTAGAGCATAGAGAGGCACAGAGTATAGATAACATCTGGATCTTTGTATTGGTTGGAGTTGCGGGGGTCTTGCGTGGAGCCCAAAGGATGGAAATCCAACATTGTCAGCAAACCTTTGTTTGGCCTGGGCCTAGCATCGCAATCACACTCAGTGGGTCAAATGGTGCTGTTTTTGGTCCCTCAACTGGTACAAGTGAGAATATCGGCAGCGATGAATCTGTGGGTTTCAGGACTCAGCTACGATTTCTGAGATCTAAAGGAGTAGTGGGCACAAATGATAGTGTATTATGGCCACGCGGCCATGTGGCCCACACTTTGGGCTCAGGTTTAGTGCAACTTGGTGAGACTCGAGTGGAGCGCTTCCACTTTAGCGTGCTGGGAGACGAGAATTCGATCATCCATCCCTGGGTCGATCGTGGCTCAATGATGACACGAGTGGTAGGCACGGGAGTGGGGTGGGCGCTGTCCGCGAGATGCAGCGTATCGCGACAAAGGGGCAACCACGGGCAATCATGGAGGTGGAGTAGGAACATGGATTGATGTTGCATAGCATTCTCGGTTTGTCACAGTTTCTTTTCTTGCAAAGCACCCTGGAAGCCTTTGCAAGACTTGCTTCCTGCTTGGTGTTCAGCTTGTGTTTTGCAGGGCCTCATGCTGATGGCAAAGGAAAGTACTGGATGATCGATGGCCGCGACGAGGAGGTTCCCGCGGGCAGCGTTTATCGGGTCACCTTGCACTGGGGAGCGCGGCTTCGTGTGGCCTGGCAACGGGAGATGTCCATCCTCAGCAGGGGCATCTCCACAAAAGAGCTGGTTGGAGCAGAGGCGAGGAAAGTGAACTGGGTGAAGGTGGTGATGAGGAAGATAGAGATAATGTAGACTGTTGATTGAAGTAAAACCCGCAATGGAAATTGTAAAATCTCGTCGCAGTCTTCACATGGGGGGCTTTATTAGTCAACAGTCTACATTAATATGTTCTTTTTTAAGAACTACAGGTTTCGTCAAGTCTTTGAATGTTGAACATTCCGGGGGAGTTGGGTGGACCCAAGTCAAGAAGTCACTAAGTCAATAACATAGTGAAGGAAGGCAGGAAAAGCGGCTGCATGGATGCATAAGGCATATCTATTTACATTGACATATAAATACACAACATGTGTCATATCTATTTGTTGATGATCATGCAGCCTTCATTCATATATTTGGTTGAGATAAACCAGACTCACCACTGCATCAGATCCAGAAGCCTACTCCTTGATTTCAAAAGCAGGATATTCAAGATTCTCCCGAGTAAGCAAGTAGTATAGGGTTGTATGGGGTATTATAAAGTTACATGATGTTCTACCAGAGCTCCGCTACGAAGCCTCAAAAGGCTGGGTCGTCCTGCTGGGTCGCGCAGCTCGACTCAGCTGGGGTCCCGACCCTTCAGGCTCGCCACCGGTACTTCGTCCTTGGAACCTGGACCAGCTGGACGTGCTTCGAAATGTCTCCCACGGAGCCCAATTGCTTCGAGACCACGCTGCGCATCGGCATGTCCGGCATGGAATCCTTCCGCTTCCTGCGGGACCAGGACCCTCCGGACCGAAACACCGCCGGGGGCCGGGAGTCACACGGTCCGCATGAGGGTGGTCACACGGTGTGAGAGGTTGACACACTGCCTGTGGATTGTTGAAGATGCCATACGCGCGGGAGGGCGAGAGAAAGAGAGGAGGGTGAAAATGCTCAATGATGGATGAGAATTGTAACTTTGCTTTGAATGCATCACTGGCCTGGAAAAGAACAATATCAATGTCATCAAGTCCTCTCTGTTGATAGATGCCCTTCCTGGGGGGAGCGAGCTGAAAAAGAGAAAGCTTGCGAAAGTAGGTCAACGAGAGCCCATGTCAGCCCTTGAGATTTCGCCTCTGGGGTCTTCACTCGAGGTTTGGAGGCCAAGCATGGACCGGTGAGTCTTACTTCTGTCTTCCTAGATGGTCAGACCTTGGCTTTGGTTCTTTGAAGTGCTTCCCTAGGGTGTCAAAAGAAGGTGCCAAACAAGCTGGTATTTGTCCTACCAAGGGGAACAAATGTAAGTATTTTAAGTGACATAGATAGAGGCAACAAGCAGGTGAAGAAGCAGATAGATGCTCAGAAACAGTTGGAGTCCAGGATGAAGAGCAAGCGATTTACCCTGCCAAGAATGCTTTGGACGCGGACGCCTCTCAAGTCTTCGTGCGTGGACCAGATGAACTTTGCAATGGCAAGAGCTGGCAGATCACTGGGAAGTATGGCCACTTGTCAGATCACGACTTTCACGTGTTCCGTTGGTTAAAATATATGAAGAAATCAGGGAATCCACCATAGCAGGGAGAGTGTTGTTCTCGAGACCATAACTCTTAAAGTCTAAAGCCATGAAGTCACTGAAGAGAAGTTCAGTGTTCTGCTGCAAATGAAACTTCTTGCACCATCCGGAAGAAAGGGCAGCCTTCGCGAGTCTTTTCACCCAAGGGCTGCTCAAATTCGTTTCTTTCACCCCAGGGCCAGGGATACATACATGGACAATCATGGACGTCACACCATGTCTTTTTGGGAGGCATCACATCAGGGGCCACCAAACCCCCCCAAAAAGAGCAGGTCCAACATCGTCCAAGCACTTTCACCAAGCCCATGCCCCAAGTCGCCCAAGTCTCCACTCCAACTCTGGACTCCACGTCGCCCATGCGCCCATCCCGCGAAGGAGTCGTGGGACCGCTCGGACCGGACCGGTCGGTCGAGGTGAACAGGTGTCGATCTGCCTGCAGATCGTCGATGCCATCATCACGGTGGATGTGCGAAGCAATATGGGAGACTTGGGAGTCAGTTGAATTTAGAGGATATGGGGTGGAACATTTGCTGCATCAGGAAGAAAGCTTCTAGAAGAAAGCTTCTAGCAAGGTTTCTCAAGTGCTTCTGAACTTCTGGAAATGAGTTCATTTTGGGGAAAGGAGCGGTTTTTCTCGGAAGACATGTGACATGATTTCTTCAGATTTCTCCAAGGATCTAGATGGACAGCGACTGGAGTGACAGGCCCTGCTCGTGAGGCTCTCAGACCAAAACTGCCGCTGAGGAAATTCGTGGGGGTTGAAAACAAGCACTGGCAAAGGAAGGCCATGCTGGAAGAACATGAAGATGAAGCCAAGCTGAATAGGAGGTGGACTTAAATTGAAGATGGTAAAATGATTGTGTGTGTGTGTGTTGATACCACCTCGTTGCACTTGGTTTTACATTGGAATTACAATGGCTTTACAAGGGCTTCACAATTATACAATTACAAGGTGCTTTTGGAAGCTTGGCCTTACTACCAGGAGCAAGGACGCCACTAGGGCTTGATGATGGTTCCACTGTCCCGTCACAACTTGCTTTGGTGCAAGCCGATCCCCGACCCGACCGACGAAGTCTCACTTGGCGATCACAAAAAGGTCTTGGAGGTTCGCACATCGACCGCCGCATTGATTTGATGTCGCTGAGGTCACAGCTATTGGGTCATGGGAAGCTTCAACAACTGGACCCAAGAGCAGATGATTTGTGGTGAGAGGCGACGGCGACCGGCGGTTCCAAAGCTTTTCTCACTGGGTGGCAGTTCCGCCTTGTACTTCTAGCAGACGACCTTGTGCAGTTCTACTGGAACTTCCACCTACACCACATGCAGTTGAAGACGAATCTCAATATTACGGTCTTTCACTCAACAAATCCAAATGCGCAGTTATCTCCACGAGCGGAAGGCATGATGTCAGGTTTAGGGACGGAGCCCGTATGCCACATGAAGATCATGTCTCATACCTCGGGGGGCTCCTCACACGACATGTAGATAATCGAGCTGAAGTTGAAAGCAGGATTTCTGCAACGATGGCCGTATGGAAACGCATGCACATGTTTTTCAAAAACGCAAGCTGTCCTGTCAGGTGGAAGCTTATTATTGTCTACAATAGCATGATCCGTTCAAAGCTTTTATATGGACTTGAAACGGTGGAGTTGACACAGTCCTTACTTTCTAGACTCGAAAGTTTCCAACTACGCGGCCTTCGAAAGATCTTAGGCATGCACACCACATTCATCGACCGCAGAAATACGAATGCCGAAGTCTACCGTAGGGCTAATGCAGCCGCTGCATCCAGAGATAACCCCTCTCCCAAGTTAACTTGGTGCATCGAAAAGTGTTTGCATGAAGAAAGGGTTAGACTTACTGGACACGTTTTGAGAACTGACAATCGCGATCCCATGAGACAGGTAAGTTTTCGTAGGGACAGTGCCGTCCCATATACACCTCTCTTCAGAAGACCGGGGCGACCCAGAAAGAATTGGTTGGTGACCTCTTTAGATCTTTGCTGGAAGAAAAACCATGAAAGTGCATACACCAATACCCCGGAACAACAATGCCAACTTTTGCCAGATGCCAGAAATCGACTGTTTTAACCGTGTTCTTGCCACTTTGTGAGTGGCCTTCGTTATTATCCGCTATTTCATTTCACCGTCAGTTTGCTGGATCAGCCTAGCGTGTTTCTGTTTCCGACATCGGAGGTGCCAAACGGGCACTCGGTCAGGAAGGTGTAAAGTCATTTCTCTTCCTTTTTCACTTAGTTCCATCAGACCTTCCTCGTGCCTTGGCTTTGAAAATCAAGGCGAGCCCGCGGACCCAAAAGCAAAAAGAAGCGCACAACCCAGGAAAAATAAACAAGCACTAATTAGCAGGCCAAAACGAAGCATCAGCCCCCTCCAGGCTTCGTGGCAACTATGATATTTCAAGCATCGCGGTTCTGGTGCAACACAGCTCCACTCACCTCCCAACGGGCTTCCGCGAAGCATGGAGCAGCACTACCCCCACCCATGCTTCGTTCTACTTGTGCACTGACCCGGAGCAGACTGCAATGATGCTGGTGGTGCAACCATGTGCTCGACGCAACAATCCTGCCGTTTCAGCCACGACTTGACCGTCTGTCGCGTGCGTTGCGCACTTTTTGGACACCCAAGACCATACCTAAGCCCCGCAGCTCCACTCACCTCCCAACGTGCTTCCGCGAAGCATGGAGCAGCACTACTCCCACCCATGCTTCGTTCTACTTGTGCACTGACCCGGAGCAGCCTGCAATGATGCTTGTGTGGTGCAACCATGTCCTCGTAACTAGCATATCAGCCGCGCAAGCGTCCACACCCATCCACTCCCCAGCCCCGTCCACACCCAAGCCACGCCGTCTCACTCCCCTCCATCTTCCCTCCCCAGCCCCGTCCACACCCATGCGCGCCTCCCACTCCCTTCCTTCTTCCCTCCCCACCCATGCGCCTCATGCGCCCCCCGTCTCGCTCCCCTCCATCTTCCCCCCCAGCCCCGACCCCACGCGCCTCCCGTCCCACCCACGCGCCTTCCGTCGCGCTCCCCTCCACCCATGCACCTCCATCTTCCATCCCCAGCCCCGTCGCCTCCCGTCTCGCTCCCCTCCATCTTCCCTCCCCAGCCCCTGGCGTACTTCTAGGGCTCCGTCCGATTCTGCGCCGCGCGGTCTCCGACGGATCCCCAGTTTGGGCCACGTGGCGTTGGGCGCGTGGCAGCTCCGTCTTTCGTCGGGTTGGCTTTTGGATGTATCATATACCTGGAACCTGAGTGACCCCTGTTTTGGAGGGTCAACTATCCCAAATATGGCCTTTTCCTGTCAAAAAAGGGGTCAAACGGATTCTGGGTGTATATATAATATATATCAACTGGTTGTTTTCAATCTGCAGCTAGTCTCCAATAACATTGCAACATGGCTTCTGACAACCGTTCCAGGAAGCCTGGAGCAGTATCGGCCCCCTCCAAGGTTCGTTCCAACCGTACAATTTCCCACGTTGCGCTTGTGGCACATAACGCTCCTCCCGCGTCGGCCATGCCTTGACTGTCTGGCGCATGTATACTGTGCACATTTTGGACACCCAACCCCATCGTATCAGCCCCGCAGCACAGCTCCACTCACCACCCAACACACGTCCGCGAAGCATGGACCAGCACTACCCCACTTGCGCACTGACCCAGAGCGGCCTACCATGATGCTTGCGATGCGACCATGTGCTCAACGCAACATTGCCTGTCGCACGCGTTGTGCACATTTTGGACACCCATCATACCTAATTAAGCCCCGCAACACCGCCCCATTCACCTCCCAACGTCCCTCCGCGAAGCTGGACCAGCACTACCCCCACCCATGCTTCGTTCTACTTGTGCACTGCCCCAGAGCAGCCTGCACTGATGCTTGTGGTGCGACCATG